CTATTCCTCGCTATTTCGGCAGGTCTGCACAACATCCAAATCATATAACATCCTATTTCACGGAACTGATCGTGGACGTTAATCAATGCAGGACTGTAGTTTGGCTTAATTAGTAAAATATCTCTGCTTTGCTCTTTTAAGAACAACCTACGTGGGATCGAACTGACAACAGCAACTCAAAAGATTTAACAGGAAACAGGGGGAATTGAGTTTATGTTAATGGGGGAGGAAAAACTCAGAAAAGGAGGGTGAGAATGGCTGCACAACTCAAAGAATGTAATCAGTGCCACTGAATTGTACATGTAGAAACTGCTGAATTGGTTGTTATGCTGTGTATATTCTCAACAACAACAAAATAAAGTTTAAAAAACAACCAGCGTAATAATCTGACCAGACCACTGTGTCCAGTTCTGGGGTGTGAAGAACTAGGAGGATGATTCCAATAAGAACCTTAGTTATGTGAAGAGCTGAAAACCAGAACACGCTGCCGTCGGGTTGAGTTTCAAAATAGGGAGAATGAAGAGAAATAGATATTACATTGCATAAATTCCTATTTCCCAATACCTAAAAGAGGTAAATGGGTAATGGGTAAAAATCTTGTTAATTGATGTTTTTAAAACTATAGTTTACACAGGGTGAAAATTATATGGAAACACATTTTTTCCTAAATGTCAGCCTTACAAATCTAAACAGTGTTCCTTCATTCGCCTTCTACCCCACATTCTCATCCACAATAAATTGTACCTAAAAGTACAAAAAGAGGTCTCTGCTAACGAGAATGCCAGAATCAAGAGAGAACAAAATGTACACTCACTACAAACTCATTGACTTCTCTGGTTTGAATACTGAATTGTAAATCAAATACCTAATCTCTTTCCAACTAGTCTTTTAACCAATGCATTAGAAATCACACATCCAACTACAAAAAGTCTTCCTCGTAACAAGAGAGATACAGGCTAAGACTCTATGGACCACTTACCTACCCATTTCTGTTTGCCACCAGCATGTAGAATTAGTGAAAAGTGATAAAATATGAAGAATTATCAACTTATACAAGAAAAAAAAATCACATTAGAACTCTTACTTCAACAGAACTCAGAGTAGAGCAGAAACCATATCTTACTCTTTTTTTGATCCAGAGCAATGTTAAACCAGTGAAAAATGCAGTAGAACCAGGTCCCTTGAAAGACACTGAAGGGCCACCAACATTCTCTAAATCATAATCTAAGTACAATCAATATGATCAAGCATTGTTATTAACCCTAACAAAGGATTAATTTAAATGAAGCTAGAGAGAAGAGTGAAATAATTATTATTACAAAAACCTTTTGCAGACATATGTGAAGACAGAGCTAACGAGAACTGTAGGGAAACTTACCAACCAGCACTCAGAAAGACAAAGTAGAAAGAAAAATTAAACAAAAGAGAAAGAAAAATCAAATAAATAGGTATGATGTTCTTGGTCCCTAAACTGGCTCTAAGGAAAGAAGGTTTGACCATGCAGCAAAGAATTCTGACCTGAAACCCATTTTCTCTCTTTTCACTGAACACAGTACATTTCCACCCGGTGTTCCTTCCTTCATCATGGGCCTCATTTCCCAGAAGACAACAGGCTACTATATGCTCTCTTCCTTTTGCCAAAAGGGGGTAAAAGGAGAAATAAAGGAAGAAAATACATTTTGTGGTTTAATTATCATGTCTTAAACGTGGGACCAATAACTTGGAAGAGACAGAAGAATTTTTCAACATCGAAAAAGAAATTTAAATATTGCAGAAGCAGGCAAAGGACAATAAACAAAATCATTTCATTAGCAATGATTCTACACAAATAAACGCTATTTTCTCTTACCAATTTAGGCTGATATTGATTAGCTGACCAAAATGTGGTCAAGAGACTGTTCTGGTTGCTGTTGTTTAAAAAACAAAAACAAAATAAAGGAACCCCACCCACACAGCTGGAAAAAAGCTTCTTACATTATGTACTAAACCCTGTTTACCCAGGCCACCTCTTAAGAGTAAATGCTTTGCAACTAGACTAGGGTTACATAAGTATTTTGCAATGTGTGGTCAGTTTAAAATCTTGTTTATTTACTGGATAGCTCACACATAAGTTATTTTACTACAAGGTCAGGTTTGCAATAATAATAAGCATCTTTCTAGTTTTATTCTATCACTCAGCACTTCTTGTAATGGAATTTTAGCCATTAGTTCTATCTTCTTTCCCTCGACAAAAAATTTAAAAGATAAAAAATATGATATCTACATGTGACAAACCATTTTTCAATATAGCTCTGTCCCAGCAACATAGTGGGAAAGAGTAAATTTTAGTGATTCAGCTGAATGGTATTAAACTCTGGGTACTGCAAAATAATACTGCCTTTCAGACACTTAAAAAATTTTAATATATGGCATGGCAGTGAATCCTTCCCACTGCTGTATTTTCAAGGAACCCCCAATACACACACACACACACACACACACACACTCTCTCTCTCTCTCTCTCTGTCTCTCTCTCTCTCTCTCCTGCCCTTTTTTAAAGGCTACCAAAAATATGGATTTCTGGGATTTTAGTTTGCAAGAGAATGGCCAAGGTCAGCAAGGTTAAATTAGGACCCCTAAAGTGAAACAGAAGGCCTGGTGGCAAAGTGGTTAAGAGCTCAGCTGCTAACCAAAAGGTCAGCAGTTCGAATCCACCAGTAGCTCCTTGGAAACCCTATGGGGCAGTTCTACCCTGTCCTGTAGGGTCGCTATGAGTCGGAGACTTGACGGCAACACGCTGGTCTTTTTTTCTGCGGGGGGGGGACTTTAAAGTGAAATACTTTCTAGGGAGAAATACTACAATATAATGAAAAGAGGACTGGGACTAGAAATTTGAAGAGCTCATCGCCCTGTTTTTGTGTGCTCTCGACTCGATTCCAACAGAGCAGACCTGCCCAAAAGGGGTTTCCTAGGCTGCAATCTTTACAGGAGCATATGGCCAGGCCTTTTCTCCTGCCAAGTGGCTGGTGGGTTCGAACCTCTGACGCTTTATCTTTCGGTTAGCAGCCAGCGCTTAACCACTGCGCCACCAGGATTTCCTCTCGTCTCACCAAAAAAAAAAAACCCACTGCCCTGGAGTTGATTCCGACTCACAGTGACCCTACAGGGCAGCGCAACCCTGCCCCCATAGGGTTTCTAAGGCCGTAAACCTTTACAAAAGCCAACTGCCACATCCTTCTCCCGCACAGCGGCTAGGGGGTTAGAACCGCCGACCTCACGGTTAGCGGTCGGGCGCTTTAACCACTGCGCGACCAGGGCTCCTTCTCATCTCCTTGGATTTCCACTATACCCCACTCCATCTCTTAGATGTGACCGGTGAATTTTTTTTTTTTTTTTAATAAACGTCCATGCTCCCCCTTTTGAAGAGATGATCAGTGAATAATGGCATGGAACCAAACTTTTCTGAAAGAACGGGAACTCCCCTGACCCACACCGAACCAGATTTAACCCTGGGATTCTGGACGCTTGCTGTGGGCACGACCTCTCCCGAACCAAAACCATTACACAAATCTCGGTCCTCAGCTGCTAGAGACACTCGAGGCACCTTTGACTGCAGAAACCTAAGTTTCACACTACAGCCGCCGGAGGGGGGGCGGAATCTGGGGACACTGCGAGTTTACAGTCAAAGAATTTTAGAATGCAAATTAAAACCTAAACGTCTAAAGGTCTGGAAAGTAACACCTGAGCTAAACAGGAACGCGGTTCAGTATTTACGAACCCGAGCTACTCCTAAAGCAAACCGAGCCTCTCTGTCCAGTTATCTGGCAGCCAGCAGCGCCAGCGGGCAGAGGGTTAAGAGGACCACATCACACACGACAACGCCGCCAGGGCCGCCGCTCCCACCGAGCCCGGGGCGCAGAACCCCCAGCTGCCACCCGCCCGCCAGGTCCCTCCAGCGCGGATCACCGCAGTTCCCCGGGTCGGGCCCTCCCCCAGGTCCCTCCCCTCCCCCACTCCCCTCGCCGTCCCCGCCCGTGCCAGCGCTCGCAGCTCCAGCCGCGGCCCCCCAACCTCGGGTCTCCTCAGATGCCAGACCCTTCAGCCCCTCCCCTTGGCGAGGCACCCCAAGTCCCGGTCCACCGTCTCCTCACCGGGGTTAGCAGCAGTCGCCGCCATGGCCGTAGATGCCACCGCCACCGCGCCAACCCCCCTGGTAGGAGGAGCCGCCGCCACCGAGCTGGGGGAAGGCGGTGGAGAGAGCCACTCCCCAGACGCGGCGCCGTACCGCCGCCACCGCTACCGCGGAATCCAAGATGGCGGCCGCAGCAACCCACACCAACCCCCGCCCCTACGCCGGGGAGGCTCCGCCCCCAAAGTGGGTGGAGTCATCTCCACGACCCCTCAGGGAAACTGACCAATGGAAACGCCAAATCGACCAGGGGCGGGGCTGGTCACTGCCCAGCCGGTCCCTTGGAGGGAGGGCAAGGAAGAAGGCCAGCTGTCTGCATAATCCCGCCTCCTTTGCGTCAGAGGTCAATGACCGAGTGACGTCCGTGAAAAGCAATTAAGGTGGGGATTTTACTAACAAAGCTTTCCCGAATCTGAGAATGACGGATTCACCCGAGTGGTCGCTCTGCAGATGATTTATTTTGTAAATTCTCTGTAGGTGTGCTAACGCTTAAGCTTCACATGGTGATTTCAATGCTTTCTTAGAGTTGTTGTCTTTTAAGGACCTTTGTCCATGGTGAAAGAAGTTCAGTAACTACTTCTTGAATGCCGGCTATGGAACTAGCAAGCAGTGTGAGAGGCTCCCGGCGCTTATGGTCTAGGAAGGGATACCTACAGCAAAAAGAGGAGGCAACGTAGGAAGTAAAGATTTCTGATTAAGTAGGGGAACACTTTTTTGGTCGATACTAGGGACATAATGACAGAGTTTTAGCAGGGAAATGATGAGTGAAGACTGAACAGATTTAGTATCTAATAATAGGAAGCACTGAGCACTTCATAAGGGCCAGACACTATCCAAATGCTTTATATGTATTTACTCATTTAATCGTCACAACACTCTCAGGTAGATTCTATTGTTATTTCCGTTTTGCAGATAAGAAAACAAAGGCAAAGAGGTTAAGCAAGGGACACCCAGCTATTAACTAGTGGTATGAGAGGCAAACTGACGAAAGCTGACTGGGAACCTGTTTCCACCCGTTCCTCCATTTTAACACTGCATGATCACAAAACGGAGGATGACTACATCATTACATAACAGCCAAATTACATCATTACATAACTGCCAAACTATATTATTAGGTAGCTGCCACACCACTGAGAGCATGGTCCAGCCAAGTTGACACAACTTTAACCGTCACAGCCCATCCCTTGTCAACTTGGCACCTGTACACTTCTCTTTTAACTGTATACAATCTCTAAATGAAGACAATTATTAAGTCATACTTGTGCCTAACATGATACAACTAACACACATACAACCAAAAACACACTAGCCCCGTTTACCTCTTATATTTTATAATAAGTGATGGAATAAGGGAAGGAAGAAAAAACATTTTTATATATATATACAGACACACATACATGTATATGCACACATATGTATATGCACAGGTACACGTATAACAACACGTGGAAGAAATACTATGAACAATTACAGTACTTATTTCTGCAACTGGTCACATGGTAGTAACTGGTATTTAGAACTACCTTCTTCCACCACCCATTCTGTATTCCCTTTGCCCTCAGCAAGCACCTCGGCTGATCGTGGTTCTTTGCCTCGTGGGGTGACCCAAACCTTCATTCCTGAAGGGTCTAGGCCATTAGTAGTCATGAGACAATTGGGTTGCTGTAGTTTTCCATTGACTTTAATCACAGGGCATGGTAGTACTAAGAGATGCCCTACCCGCTGCTGTCGATTCAATTCCAACTTATAGTGACCCCACAGGATTTTCAAGACTATAAATCTTTATGGAAGCAGACTGCCACATCTTACTCCCACGGAGACACTGGTGGTTTTGAACTGCCGGCCTTTCACTTAGCAGTCGCACTCTTTACCACTGCTCCACCAGGGATCCTTAAGAAATGCCCTAAGGGTTGGCTATATTCCAGACATGCTCTTCTTTACCGCCATTATGTAATATTAATCTTATTTCCCCTTAGTAATCAGAATCACTCACACCAGCCAATATGTAACTCCCTTCTTTGCCTGTTGATCCAAAGGCATGAAGAGTCCAAAGTGACCAGGTGACATTCTTAACTTCCAGTACAGTGGAATCAGTGTTGTGTCTCCAGGTGGGAGTATTCCTCCATTTGGGACTAAGACTAGATCCACAGAGCATAGGGTCAAACATTTTGTGAGTGGGTTAGTAGGGGTAATAGTGAGTGGTGCCACTCCCATTTCCACCCTTTGATTCTTGGACCTGTGAATCCTGCTATGGGAGAAACAGCACCATATATTGGACGCTGGTTTAGAGCATATACAGCCTCCCAGAGAACATCACCCCAACCCTGCAACATACTGCCACCTAGCTGATGTTGTAATTGTGTCTTCAGAAGGCCATTCCATCGTTCTATCAAGGCAGCTGCTTCAGGATGATGGGGAATATGGTAAGATCAGTGAATTCCATGAGCATGGGCCCATTGCCACACTTCATTTTCTATGAAGTAAGCCCCTTGATCTGAGGCAATGCTGTGTGGGAATACCATGACGGTGAAAAGGCATTCTGTGATTCAACGGTTGGTAGTTTTGGCAGAAGCATTGCATGCAGGGAAGACAAACCTGTATCCAGAGTAAGTGTCTATCCCAGTAAGAATGAAACACTGCCCTTTCTATGATGGAAGCAATCAACTCTAATTGCCTCCAGATTGATGGCTGATCACCTCAAGGAATGGTGCCATACTGGGGACTCAGTATTGATCTCTGCTACTGGAAGATTGGGCAATCAGCAGTGGCTGTAGCCAAGTCGGCCTTGGTAAATGGAAGTCCCTGTTGCTGAGCACATGCATAACTTCCATCCATGCCACCATGTCCACTTTATTCATGAGCCCATTGGGCAATGATAGCAATGGCTGAGGAAAGAGGATAACTGGTTTCCACAGAACGCATCATCCTGTCCACTTGATTGTTAAAGTCCTCCTCTGCTGAGGTCACTCTTTGGTGAACATTCACATGAGACACAAACATCTTCACTTCTCTGGCCCATTCAGAGAGGTCTGTCCACATATCTCTTCCCCATACTTTCTTGTCACCAATTTTCCAATCATATTCCTTCCAAGTTCCTGACTCTCTGGCCAAACCATTGACCACAGCCAATGAATCCGTATTCAATTGCATATCTGGCCATTTCTACTTCCAAGCAAAATGAATAAACAGGTGCACCGCTCGAAGTTCTGCCCATTTGTGGACTGTGATGGTTCTGCCCACAGAGCCGTGAAGAAGGATTTCCCTTCTCCACTGTCCTTCAGGGAGGTCCCAGAGAGGAGCTGAAGTTCTGCCACTGTCCACTTTCGAGTGGTCCCTGCAGATTGCACAGAACCATCTGTAAACCAGGCACGAGTTTTCTCTTCCTCAGTCAACTGATCATGAGGAACTCCCCATGAGGCCATGGGTGCAGACTGGGAGGGGGAAGGTAATGTGATAGGAGAGGAGACCATGGGCATTTGGGCCACTTCCTCGTGCAACTTACTTGTGCCTTCAGGTCCTGCTTGGGCCCGATCTCATATATACCACCTCCATTTAATGATGGAGTGCTGCTGTGCACGTCCAACTTTATGGCTCTGTGGGTCAGACAACACCCAGTTCATGATGGGCAGCTCAGGCCTCATGGTGACTTGATGGCCCGTGGTTACTCGTGCGGTTTCTATTAAGACCCAGTAATAAGCCAAAAGCTGTTTCTCAAAAGGAGAGTAGTTATCTACAGAGGATAGCAGGGTTTTGCTCCAAAATACTAAGGGTCTGTGCTATGATTCGCCACTTTGTCCAGTGAAAGTAGGACCAAACAACCAGCTTCCCTATACTCCTCATTCTGACAAAATTGTGGAAAGATATCAAGCATGAAATCACCCGGAGTCTCACTTCTCATCAATACTTGATCTATTGGTGGTGATATTTTGCATATTAATATTGTCACCTGATGTCATGGATTAGCAGTACCCTCTTTACTACTGGAGGCAGAGTCATCAGCACCTTCAAGACTAGGCAGACTTGAGAACCAATTTAGAAAACTCATCCTTATGATTTTGTTTCTCTAGAATCACTCTTGGTACCAAATGTCTTAGGCTGTGTTCTCTAGAGAAGCAAAACGAGTAAAGCGTATATACGTAAATATGTATAGAGAGAGATTTATCTCAAGGAAATGGCTCACGCAGTTGTGGAGGCTGGCAAGTCCCAAGTCTGTGGATCAGGAGTCAGGCTAGAGGCTTCTCCTCATACACGTGGTTACAGGGGCTGATGAACCCAAGATCGGCAGGTTAGACAATGGGCTACCGGCTCACGGGCCACGGAAACTGACAAATCCCAGAATCAGCAGGTCAGACGACAGACTCAAGTCCTCAAGTCCCAGGTGATGACAGGTTGGATGTAGGATCCAGAGCGGGCAAGCTTTTCCAGATCATCAGTATATATTGGCTGCAGGCCACACCCCCAAGGAAACTCCTTTTGCAACCGAATGGCTGCTCACATCAAATCACAAAATGGGGTATGACTACCTCAGATCACAAAATGGAAGATGACTACATCATTACATAACTGTCAAACTATATGATTATGTAATTGCCAAGCCACAGAGAATCACGGCCCAGCCAAGTTGACGCACAACCTTAACCATCACAGGTGCTTTCGACGAGTGCTGTGAGTTGTTCCTGCGGCTTATCAAACCAAAGGAATTGTGGGAGTCAGCAGGTCAGAAGTTAGAGCCCGGGGAGGGGGTAGTTAGCATTCTGAAGGGTTAGCGGGAAAACCCTGAATCTGTAGCCAGCAGGTCAGAAGTTAGGGAACTCAGGAGGGTCTCCCAAGCTTGCTGCTGGCATCTGCCTATTTGGCAGTCTGAACGACAGTGTCCTCTTCATAGTGCCATCTAACCTAGCTCCAGGTGGCTAGGGTCAGAGAGAGGAGTGCTGCGTGGGCAGCTGGTGTCCGAACTGAGTTGAGAAGTGGAAAAATGAGGATTTTGATTTGATTAGCCGTACAGTGGATAAAAAAGATACTACATCACACCCTTCATAGAAAAAACAAATGGTAGAAGTCATTTTGTTACAGAGATGCTTGTACAATTAGCTACAATGTTAATCACA